TGACATGACTGGAAGACTGAAAGAAAACATTAATTTAATTTTCCCTTAATTCAAGCAATTAAAGGGTCAGATCATATAAATTCTATTAATATAAATATTCTATTCTTTCATAATATTATTACTACATTTTACTATGTCATCTTATGACCCCGATAACAAGTTAAATGGCAAGAAATTGACAAGTGTCATTCATTCATACGAACGGTACGGATAGTTGCATGTATGCATGAAAACTTTTTCATTGACCTAGACATTATTGAAAAGCAAACTGTGACACAAGTCATCATACTATATATGGGCACATGAGATATTTTTACAATTAATGAACAACTAATGAGAACATAGTAGTATAATGTAAATCAAAACCAAAAGATGATGACTATTGATACTTGAACAAAACAGAAAAAAACTAATATGGTAAATTTAACCAGGCGTGACGTGAAAAATTGTTATAAAAAACCAATGCCACGGACCAAATACTTGTACGAATTAGCAACAAGTAGTATGAGTTGGAAAAACCAATGTTGTTGTAGGGGCCAAGAGCTTAGTGTAATGGTAGGGGGCTACAATTATATTAATAGTAAAACTATTATCAAGGTTTGTGATTTCTGATATGTAACTAATTTAATATTTGTTCTATTAAACTGTGATTACCCCTATTATGAAATATTTGCTACATTCTGGTTTATATTAATAAATATGCAAATAGCATATTAAACATATGATTGAAATGTTTATTAAAAACGAATTCTAAAAATTGAAACCAGAGTATATAGAAACTGATATGTAAGAATCTATAATTGCTGTAAAAATATGGATGACGTGTTGGTCATGACATCATATTGGAGAAAATTTCTAGTTCTTTAATTCGTAGATTTCATTGGAATAAACTGACGACGTATTCCTAATAGGTGATGTCACAGTTAAGGTGGGAGACACCATTTCAACTTGAATTTTTATATTTCATTAAAAACCTTAAACTGAAATGATTAATGACTGCACTACACTGAGAAAAAACTTCATAGTAAATTTCATAATTAAATATACTTTCGAATATTCTGGTCTATATCCTAGTATACAGTCTAATATATGTTGTAGTCTAGAGTCTAGTCAAGACTTTATACTATTCTGAAGTCAAGACTATAGACTGTTCTATAGTAAAGTTTATCGGCTGTTCTATAGTAAAGGCTATAGTCTGTTCTATGGTCCAGACTATAGACTGTTCTATAGTGAAGACTATAGACTGTTCTATGGTCAAGACTATAGGCTGTTCTATAGCTAAGATCATTGACTTTACTATAGCCAAGTCAATAGACTTTTCTATAGTCAAGAATATAGACAGTTTTTAAATTTAAGACTGTAGACTATAGACTTTTCGATAGTCAGGACTATAGCCTTTTCAGTAGTAAAACTTTAGACTGTTCTATAGGTAAGACTATAGAATGTTCTGCGGTCAGGACTACAGACTGTTCTAAAATCAAGGCTATAAACTGTTCTATAGTCATGAGTATAGACTGTTCTACAGTTAAGGCTATAGGCTAGTCTAAATATAGTCTAGTCCATAGTCTAGCCTATTGTCTAGTCTGTAGTTTAGTCTCTAGTCTAGCCTGTATTTTAGTCCATAGTCTTGTCTATATTATGGTCCTTAGTCTAGCCTATAGTCTAGTCTATATTCTAGTCAATAGTCTAGTCTATAGTCTAGTCTATAGTCTAGTCTATAGTCTAGTCTATAGTCTAGTCTATAGTCTAGTCTATAGTCTAGTCTATAGTCTAGTCTATAGTCTAGTCTATAGTCTAGTCTATAGTCTAGTCTATAGTCTAGTCTATAGTCTAGTCTATAGTCTAGTCTATAGTCTAGTCTATAGTCTAGTCTATAGTCTAGTCTATAGTCTAGTCTATAGTCTAGTCTATAGTCTAGTCTATAGTCTAGTCTATAGTCTAGTCTATAGTCTAGTCTATAGTCTAGTCTATAGTCTAGTCTATAGTCTAGTCTATAGTCTAGTCTATAGTCTAGTCTATAGTCTAGTCTATAGTCTAGTCTATAGTCTAGTCTATAGTCTAGTCTATAGTCTAGTCTATAGTCTAGTCTATAGTCTAGTCTATAGTCTAGTCTATAGTCTAGTCTATAGTCTAGTATAGTCTAGTCTATAGTCTAGTCTATAGTCTAGTCTATAGTCTAGTCTATAGTCTAGTCTATAGTCTAGTCTATAGTCTAGTCTATAGTCTAGTCTATAGTCTAGTCTATAGTCTAGTCTATAGTCTAGTCTATAGTCTAGTCTATAGTCTAGTCTATAGTCTAGTCTATAGTCTAGTCTATAGTCTAGTCTATAGTCTAGTCTATAGTCTAGTCTATAGTCTAGTCTATAGTCTAGTCTATAGTCTAGTCTATAGTCTAGTCTATAGTCTAGTCTATAGTCTAGTCTATAGTCTAGTCTATAGTCTAGTCTATAGTCTAGTCTATAGTCTAGTCTATAGTCTAGTCTATAGTCTAGTCTATAGTCTAGTCTATAGTCTAGTCTATAGTCTAGTCTATAGTCTAGTCTATAGTCTAGTCTATAGTCTAGTCTATAGTCTAGTCTATAGTCTAGTCTATAGTCTAGTCTATTAGGTCTAGTCTATAGTCTAGTCTATAGTCTAGTCTATAGTCTAGTCTATAGTCTAGTCTATAGTCTAGTCTATAGTCTAGTCTATAGTCTAGTCTATAGTCTAGTCTATAGTCTAGTCTATAGTCTAGTCTATAGTCTAGTTCTATAGTCTATAGTCTAGTATAGTCTAGTCTTATAGTCTAGTCTATAGTCTAGTCTAGTCTATAGTCTAGTCTATAGTCTAGTCTATAGTCTAGTCTATAGTCTAGTCTATAGTCTAGTCTATAGTCTAGTCTATAGTCTAGTCTATAGTCTAGTCTATGTCTAGTCTATAGTCTAGTCTATTAGTCTAGTCTATAGTATAGTCTATAGTCTAGTCTATAGTCTAGTCTATAGTCAGCTATAGTCTAGTCTATAGTCTAGTCTATAGTCTAGTCTATAGTCTAGTCTATAGTCTAGTCTATAGTCTAGTCTATAGTCTAGTCTATAGTCTAGTCTATAGTCTAGCTATAGTCTAGTCTATAGTCTAGTCTATAGTCTAGTCTATAGTCTAGTCTATAGTCTAGTCTATAGTCTAGGTCTATAGTCTAGTCTATAGTCTAGTCTAATTAGTCTAGTCTATAGTCTAGTCTATAGTCTAGTATCTATAGTCTAGTCTATAGTCTAGTCTATAGTCTAGTCTATAGTATAGCTAGTCTATAGTCTAGTCTATAGTCTAGTATAGAGTCTAGTCTATAGTCTAGTCTTAGTCTATCTAGTCTATAGTCTAGTCTATAGTCTAGTCTATAGTCTAGTCTATAGTCTAGTCTATAGTTTCTAGTCTATAGTCTAGTCTATAGTCTAGTCTATAGTCTAGTTCTATAGTCTAGTCTATAGTCTAGTCTATAGTCTAGTCTATAGTCTAGTCTATAGTCTAGTCTATAGTCTATAGTCTAGTCTATAGTCTAGTCTATAGTCTAGTCTATAGTCTAGTCTATAGTCTAGTCTATAGTCTAGTCTATAGTCTAGTCTATAGTCTAGTCTATAGTCTAGTCTATAGTCTAGTCTATAGTCTAGTCTATAGTCTAGTCTATAGTCTAGTCTATAGTCTAGTCTATAGTCTAGTCTATAGTCTAGTCTATAGTCTAGTCTATAGTCTAGTCTATAGTCTAGTCATAGTCTAGTCTATAGTCTAGTCTATAGTCTAGTCTATAGTCTAGTCTATAGTCTGGTCTATAGTCTAGTCTATAGTCTAGTCTATAGTCTAGTCTATAGTCTAGTCTATAGTCTAGTCTATAGTCTAGTCTATAGTCTTGTCTATAGTCTAGTCTATAGTCTTGTCTATAGTCTAGTCTATAGTCTAGTCTATAGTCTAGTCTATAGTCTAGTCTATAGTCTAGTCTATAGTCTAGTCTATAGTCTAGTCTATAGTCTAGTCTATAGTCTAGTCTATAGTCTAGTCTATAGTCTAGTCTATAGTTAGTTAGTCTATAGTCTAGTCTATAGTCTAGTCTATAGTCTGGTCTATAGTCTAGTCTATAGTCTAGTCTATAGTCTAGTCTATAGTCTAGTCTATAGTCTGGTCTATAGTCTAGTCTATAGTCTTGTCTATAGTCTAGTCTATAGTCTTGTCTATAGTCTAGTCTATAGTCTAGTCTATAGTCTAGTCTATAGTCTAGTCTATAGTCTAGTCTATAGTCTAGTCTATAGTCTAGTCTATAGTCTAGTCTATAGTCTAGTCTATAGTCTAGTCTATAGTTAGTCTATAGTCTAGTCTATAGTCTAGTCTATAGTCTAGTCTATAGTCTAGTCTATAGTCTGGTCTATAGTCTAGTCTATATTCTAGTCTATAGAATTAGTCTATAGTCTAGTCTATAGTCTAGTCTATAGTCTAGTCTATAGTCTAGTCTATAGTCTAGTCTATAGTCTAGTCTATAGTCTGGTCTATAGTCTGTCTATAGTCTAGTCTATAGTCTAGTCTATAGTCTAGTCTAGTCTATAGTCTAGTCTATATTCTAGTCTATAGTCTAGTCTATAGTCTATATTCTAGTCTAAAGTCTAGTCTATAGTCTAGTCTATAGTCTAGTCTATAGTCTAGTCTATAGTCTAGTCTATAGTCTATAGTCTAGTCTATAGTCTAGTCTAGTCTATAGTATAGTCTATAGTCTAGTTTATAGTCGAGTCTATAGGCTAGTCCATAGTCTAGTCTACTCGTTTATAGGCAAGCAATAGATATTAATAATAAATATTTGTAAAGCGCTTAAAATCCCCAAACGCTCTTGGGTAAATTATAACTCCCTTTAATCCACCTTGACCAATATATTAACTATCATACAAATAAACTTTAATTAACACCTATTTTTAAAATGTCACTAAACCCATAAAATCCATAATATTATACAAAAAACATGTAAAATTTAAAATCAAATAACTTACCTCTTCTTCGTTTTTATGCAAAGTATCGTTAAGTGCGATAACCCAAGACATTAATAATTCGTTAACAATCACCAAGTCACTATAGAGCCAACGAAAAACTTGGCTAGTCCAAGTGACGGAAGTCTAAAATAACAACAATAAACAAAACAACAATATAAAATAAATCAATATATTTAAAAGCAAACAAAAAACCACTCTATTAAATATAATAATAAAATTAACATAAAAAAAAAAAAAATATTTTATAAAAACCACACAAAATAAATTAAACTAAAAATCCCACTAACTCACCGTTTCTGGTCCAACAACATTTGAGGGCGGTGGCACATAACGTTTTTTACGATTTTCCGGTCCTGTCGAACCCTGTCTCACCATACGTCTGCGCACACCCGGTCCACCGGCAGCAGCTCCAGGTACCGGTGGTCGTCCACGACCACTACCACCCGCCGGTTTTGCTAATAAATCTTTTATTTCACTTTTACTTGACAATATTTCACGCGGTTCCGAGAGACGTTTTTCAGTTTTAATACCACCCGGGGCAACACTACCCTGCCGACTACTGGCGGCACTAGCAGGTTTATCTTTCAGCACATATTTTTGGTATAAAAATTTACACAGCCATACTAAGAAGAGAGCCAATACGGCCCATATAAATATAAACATTGCTAATGAATCCATTGTTATATCACCGAGACCTTCAAATGTACAAATATAATCATCGATTTGATCGGCTAAATCCATAATAGTTTAAAACGTTAAGGGTGTTGTTTTAAACAGTTGGCGCCATGGGCATCATAGCTGGAAATGAGAAAAAACGGGGGATAAAGAGATTAGTTACAAAGTTAAAATTTGATTTAATGAAGAGTATATAAAAAGGAAAGTTATGACAAATCGTTTATAAGTAGAGAATTTATCAATCAGGACGACCTTAACTATGACTATAATCTGAGGTGCATAGTATACTGAAGTCAGGACTATATATTAGACTCAAGTTCGGATTATAGACTAAGCTATAGTCAGGAACTAGACTAGATTTTAAAATGAACTACCAACTTAACACTGGATTTTAGACCAGACCGTAGTCTTACTATAGTCTAGACTATAGTCTGAACTATAGACCAGACTATAGACAAGACTATAGTCTGAACTATAGACTAGACTATAACCTGGTATATAGACTCTACTATAGCCTTGATTATATACTAGATAATAGTCTGGATTATAAACGAGACTATAGTATGGACTATAGACGAGACTATAGTTTGGACTATAAACGAGACTATAGTTTGGACTATAGACGAGACTATAGTTTGGACTATAGACGAGACTATAGTTTGGACTATAGACGAGACTATAGTTTGGACTATAGACGAGACTATAGTTTGGACTATAGACGAGACTATAGTCTGTACTATAGACGAGACCATAGTCTGTACTATAGACGAGACCATAGTCTGTACTATAGACGAGACCATAGTCTGTACTATAGACGAGACCATAGTCTGTACTATAGACGAGACTATAGTCCGGACTATAAACGAGACTATAGTCTGGACTATAGACTAGACTATAATCTGGACTATAGACGAGACTATAATCTGGACTATAGACGAGACTATAGTCTGGACTATAGACGAGACTATAGTCTGGACTATAGACGAGACTATAGACGAGACTATAGTCTGGACTATAGAAGAGACTATAGTCTGGACTATAGACTAGACTATAATCTGGACTATAGACGAGACTATAATCTGGACTATAGACGAGACTATAGTCTGGACTATAGACGAGACTATAGACGAGACTATAGTCTGGACTATAGAAGAGACTATAGTCTGGACTATAGACGAGACTATAGTCTGGACTATAGACGAGACTATAGTCTGGACTATAGACGAGACTATAGTCTGGACTATAGACGAGACTATAGTCTGGACTATAGACGAGACTATAGTCTGGACTATAGACGAGACTATAGTCTGGACTATAGACGAGACTATAGTCTGCACTATAGACGAGACTATAGTCTGGACTATAGACAAGACTATAGTCTGGACTATAGACGAGACTATAGTCTGGACTATAGACGAGACTATAGTCTGCACTATAGACGAGACTATAGTCTAGACTATAGACGAGACTATAGTCTGCACTTTAGACGAGACTATAGTCTGCACTATAGACGAGACTATAGTCTAGACTATAGACGAGACTATAGTCTAGACTATAGACGAGACTATAGTCTAGACTATAGACGAGACTATAGTTTGGCTATAGTCTGGACTTTAAACGAGACTATAGTCTGGACTATAAACGAAACTATAGTCTGGACTATAAACGAGATTATAGTCTGGACTATAAACGAGACTATAGTCTGCACTATAGACGAGACTATAGTCTGCACTATAGACGAGACTAAAGTCTGCACTATAGATAAGACTAAAGTCCTCACTATAGGTAGTCTGGACTATAGACGAGACTATAGACTGGATTATAGACGAGATTATAGTCTGCACTATAGGCGAGACTAAAGTCTGCATTATAGACTAGTTTGGACTTTAGACGCGATTATAAACCAGATGTAACAAATTTTAATGACAAGTACTGCCAATATTTGTAAAAAAAATATTTAAACAAATAATTATTTTTAGTTTATTTATGTTTTAAAGAATTAATAAATTGCATATAATTTAAAAACTAAAATGAAAATGTGTTCATGTATGTTTAAACAAATGTATTTAAAACTTATTTATTCTACATATCACACTTTTGATAATACTTGTCACCCAGTTGTTGTTATTATTTGCAATGTGTCAAAATTGTATAAATATGTAAACAAAGCAAATATCGGGTATACGTATGTGTACCCGATTCATACATACATATAGAGCAAAAGAAAATAGTATAGAAGCACTTAAATAGGGCACGATTTCTTTTTGAAATTTTTAATAAATAGAATTTTGAAAGGAAAGAAGGGATGTATTTTTTAGAATCTGTCAGTTATTGAACCGATATAAACACTCACTAAATTGACAATTATTCTTATATTTCTGATATTTGTTAAATTTTTGACGAACATACACTTCAATTACAACAGTTTTTTACATTAGAGTTTTAAAATTTTTTATTTTTTTATGAAATTTTTTTACATTTTAATTTTTTTCTTAAAAAATATTGAAAAATTATATAAATAATGCGTTTTGCTTTCGCCTAAATAACAGCACAAATTAAATACAAAAATATTGTTTTTATTTTGCTAAAATAAAATTTGCAAAACAACCGAACATTTTCTTTTAAAAATTAATATTTTTGTTTTTGCAATTGTTTGAAAATGTGAAAATATACATCTGGGATTTTTTTCTTCAAAATAAACACTTGATAGAGGGAAATAAAACAGAAAGAAAATACATAAATTCATGAGTAGAAAAATAAACATATATATTTATTTAAGAAGAACAGAAGTCGGCACACAGTACTTGAATAACCCAGTGAAATATTTGGCGGACTTTGGAAGGAAAAAGTAGGCATTTAGGGACCACTAAAAAGAATACTAAACCACAACACAAAGCAATCATTGACAAGAATATAGGCATGATTATAGACTAGACTATAAACTCGACTATAAACTGAACCATAGGCTAGACAATAGACTAGACTATAGACTAAACTATAGACTAGACTATAGAGTAGACTATAGACTAGACTATAGACTAGACTATAGACTAGACTATAGACTAGACTATAGACTAGACTATAGACTAGACTATAGACTAGACTATAGACTAGACTATAGACTAGACTATAGACTAGGCTATAGACTAGGCTATAGACTAGACTAGACTAAGAGTAGAGTATAGACTAGACTATAGAGTAGAGTATAGACTAGACTATAGACGAGACTATAAACTAGACTATAGACTAGACTATAGACCAGACTATAGACTAGATTATAGACATGCCTATGGACTAGACTATAGACTAGACTATAGAATAGACTATATACTAGACTATAAACTAGACTATAACCAGACTATAGACTAGACTATAGACTAGACTATAGACTAGTCTACAAACTAGACTATAGACCAGACTATAGACTAGACTATAGACTAGACTACAGACTAGACTATAGACTAGACTATAGACTAGACTATAGACTGGACTATAGACTAGACTATAGACTAGACAATAGACTAGACTAGAGACTAGACTATAGACTAGACTACAGACTAGACTATATACTAGACTATAGACTAGGCTATAGACTAGACTATAGACTAAACTATAGACTAGACTATAGACTAGACTATAGACTAGACTATAGACTAGACTATAGACTAGACTATAGACTAGACTATAGACTAGATTATAGACTAGACTATAGACTAGACTATAGACTAGACTATAGACTAGACTATAGACTAGCCTATAGACTAGACTAGTCTAGTCTAGACTAGACTATAGACTAGACTAGACTAGACTAGACTAGACTATAGACTAGACTAGACTAGACTAGACTAGACTAGACTAGACTCGACTAGACTAGACTAGACTAGACTAGACTCGACTAGACTAGACTAGACTAGACTAGACTAGACTATAGACTATAGACTATAGACTATAGACTATAGACTATAAACTATAAACTATAGACTATAGACTATAGACTAGACTAGACTATAGACTAGACTAGACTAGACTAGACTAGACTAGACTAGACTAGACTAGACTAGACTAGACTATAGACTAGACTAGACTAGACTAGACTAGACTAGACTAGACTAGACTAGACTAGACTAGACTAGACTAGACTAGACTAGACTAGACTAGACTAGACTAGACTAGACGTAGACTAGACTAGACTAGACTAGACTAGACTATAGACTAGACTATAGACTAGACTATAGACTAGACTATAGACTAGACTATAGACTAGACTATAGACTAGACTATAGACTAGACTATAGACTAGACTATAGACTAGACTAGACTAGACTAGACTATAGACTAGACTATAGACTAGACTATAGACTAGACTATAGACTAGACTATAGACTAGACTATAGACTAGACTATAGACTAGACTATAGACTAGACTATAGACTAGACTATAGACTAGACTATAGACTAGACTATAGACTAGACTATAGACTAGACTATAGACTAGACTATAGACTAGACTATAGACTAGACTATAGACTAGATTATAGACTAGACTATAGACTAGACTATAGACTAGATTATAGACTAGACTATAGACTAGACTATAGACTAGACTATAGACTAGACTATAGACTAGACTATAGACTAGACTATAGACTAGACTATAGACATGACTATAGACTAGACTATAGACTAGACTATAGACTAGACTATAGACTAGACTATAGACTAGACTAGAGACTAGACTATAGACTAGACTAAAGACTAGACTATAGACTAGACTATAGACTAGACTATAGACTAGACTATAGACTAGACTAGACTAGACTATAGACTATAGACTATAGACTAGACTATAGACTAGACTATAGACTAGACTATAGACTATAGACTAGACTATAGACTAGACTATAGACTAGACTATAGACTAGACTATAGACTAGACTATAGACTAGACTATAGACTAGACTATAGACTAGACTATAGACTAGACTATAGACTTTTACTATAGACTAGACTATAGACTAGACTAGAGACTAGGCTAGAGACTAGACCATAGACATGAATATGGACTAGACTATAGACCAGACTATAGACTAGAATATAGACATGACTATAGACTAGACTATAGACTAGACTAAACTATAGGATAGAATATAAACTAAACTATAGACTAGATTATAGAGTAGACTGTAGCCTAGAATATAGACTAGACTATAGACTAGACTATAGCACACACTGTAGACTATAGCCTAGACTATAGACTAGACTTCAGACTAGACTATAGACAGGTCAATAGACTAGACTAGAAACTGGACTATAAACCAGACTATAGACTAGCTTATATACTGGACTATAGACTAAACTATAGACTACACTAAAGATTAGACTATAGCCTAAAATAGACTATGGACTAGGCTACTGACTGGACTATAGACTAGACTATAAACTAGAATATGGACTAGACTATATGCTAGACTATAAGCTAGTCTGTAGGATAGACTAGAGACTGTAGACTGAACAATAGACCAAACTATAGACTAGACTATAAACTAATCTATATACTACATTATAAAGTAGACTTGACTATAGACTAGACTATAGACTATACTGTAGACTATAGAATACACAGACTAGACTATAGACAGGACAATAGACTAGACTAGAGACTGGACTATAGATTAGACGTTAGACTGGACTAAAGATTAGACTATAGAATACAGACTAGAATATAAACTAAACTATAGACTAAACTGTAGTTTAGACTAGTTTAACTACACTAAATAACAACAAAAACTATAATCAGGTACCGAATTATAGTATTATAGACCAATTTTCTTGTTTTATATAGTATTATAAAGAAATTTCTTATCTTAGTCCAATTTCAATGGTTTTCATATATTTGAACTCTCACTCTCCCCGCACCGTTGTAAAAAATTATTTCATCACAAACACTATGAGTCCCCCAATTGTCGTTAAAACATTTGCGGGGCATCTCATTTGGTATTCCTCAAATACACAAAATTTTCAACAAGATATGAAAAACTATTTTTAGAATATTCAATATATATAAAAAAAATTTTCATAAAGTTTTTTGAAACTGTAATAATTTTCTACACTTTTTTTATAATTACACTCACTTTTTTAACAAAATTTTCAAACAAAAATCATACAATTTAATTAAACTTTATTTACAACAAAAAAAAAACTTTATAAAATAATATAAAATTAACCGAAAAAAATCAATAAATATCGAAAATCGCAAATGAAACAGAACCGTTAAAAAGGGAAATAAAGAAATCGTAACGAAAGAAAATAAAGCGAAAAAACCGAAAATTTTTCTGCTTTCAAAACTCAAAAGAAAACTAAAATGAATTTCAGAATTTTGATCTGTAAAAGCCCAAAAGCATAAACCAAAAGAGATATAAGATCGTGTGCCGTCGCATACTGCGTCGAATCATAGAGATAAATAATTATTATGAAAATGTTGAATGAATAAATAATAATGACGACATCATCATTATCATCATCATAATAACACCAAACTGTATATGCAAGACACTTCAAAAATACTCAATAGTTTTGTATAGAGAAGATGAAAACTAAAAGAAAAAAAAAAACTACAGGAAAAACTACGCCACAGTATGTTTGATTATTAATTGAAAGTGTGGCATGTGTGGCAACCAGCAAGCTACCAGTTGTTTAAAGAATTACATCACAATTTTTATAACACACACCTCATTTGTAGTCCCGTGTGACGTCATTATGTGAAAATTGTTAGATTTTTTTTTTTTTTAAGAAAATTAATTGTTTCAGTTGAAATTAATTTTATTGCAACAAAATAAATAAAAAATCAATAGAATCTGTTTCGCCCATAAATTTTATTTTTGTTTAAGATGTTTTCGGGCTTGACTTTTTGATCGACAAATGCCAAATTCTTACATTAGTGTAAAATGTTTTTCTTTTTTAATTTTAAATAAATTTAAAAAAATAGACAGACTTCTAGACTATAGCAGGGACTATAGACTATAGTAGGGACTATAGACTATAGTCGGGACTATAGACTGTAGTCGGGACTATAGACTATAGTCGGGACTATAGACTATAGTCGGGACTATAGACTATAGTCGGGACTATAGTCGGGACTATAGTCGGGACTATAGTCGGGACTATAGTTGGGACTATAGTCGGGACTATAGTTGGGACTATAGTCGGGACTATAGTCGGTACTATAGTCGGGACTATAGACTATAGTCGGGACTATAGACTATAGTCGGGACTGTAGACTATAGTCGGGACTATAGACAATAGTCGGGATTATAGACAATAGTCGGGACTATAGACAATAGTCGGGATTATAGACAATAGTCGGGACTATAGACTATAGTCGGGACTATAGACTATAGTCGGGACTATAGACTATAGTCGGGACTATAGACTATAGTCGGGACTATAGACTATAGTCGGGACTATAGACTATAGTCGGGACTATAGACTATAGTCGGGACTATAGACTATAGTCGGGACTATAGACTATAGTCGGGATTATAGACTATAGTCGAGACTACAGATTATAGTCGGGACTATAGACTATAGTCGAGACTAGAGACTATAGTCGGGACTATAGACTATAGTCGGGACTATGGACTGTAGTAGAGACTATTGTCCGGACTATAGACTATAGTCGGGACTATAGACTATAGTCGGGACTATAGACTATAGTCGGGACTATAGACTATAGTCGGGACTATAGACTATAGTCGGGACTATAGACTATAGTCGGGACTATAGACTATAGTCGGGACTATAGACTATAGTCGGGACTATAGACTATAGTCGGGACTATAGACTATAGTCGGGACTATAGACTATAGTCGGGACTATAGACTATAGTCGGGACTATAGACTATAGTCGGGACTATAGACTATAGTCGGGACTATAGACTATAGTCGGGACTATAGACTATAGTCGGGACTATAGACTATAGTCGGGACTATAGACTATAGTCGGGACTATAGACTATAGTCGGGACTATAGACTATAGTCGGGACTATAGACTATAGTCGGGACTATAGACTATAGTCGGGTCTTTAGACTATTGTCGGAGTTATAGATATAGTCCGCCTTTTAAACTAAATTTTTCCCACAGTGTAGCCTTATACTAGAAAAAAAAATACATAAACACAAACTATATAATGATAGCAAGATCTTCGTGCAACATGAAAATCTCTAAAACAAAACTACGTACTAACTGCAAACGAAAAAAAAATCAGCTAAAACAATATTTTTTTCAAAATTTTTATCGCAAGTTGTAGACAGACTTGTATTAAAGATTGAGTGAAATTACAGATACTAGGTATACAATAATGATGAGATCTTATGAATACAACCAAGTATCTAGTTGTCTATCAACTAGGTACTGTAGCTGTTAGTTAATATTTATGTGTATTTGTTTGTAATTATTATAAAATTACATAGTTGTGCAATGATTTGTAAATAACTTATTTACATTTAAATATAAGTTTTTGTTTTTAATATTATTTTGGTTTTATTTCAATGTTTTTGCTGTAATATCAAATGAAAATTTTATAAAATTATAAACAAACAAAACTAATAATCATATAACGTAAATAGTTTTACGCAGTGTTGCATTTTTCTTAAATTACAGTTTTAGTAATTAATTAAAATAACTAATATCTATGATATCTTATTCAGATATAGTGTAATTGATAATTAAAATATTGTGTTTCTTGGGGATGACATGATTTTTGAATTACTAATAGTATTCATAGTAAATAAATTTTAGAATTTCTCTGAAAAAAATACCTTATTTTATAAAGGTGTTAAGTTTACTTTAACTTTAAGTTATAAATTAATTAGATATTATTATCTTTATTTTATCGTAATAAATTTCTTAATAAATGACTCATTTCTTTTTTGTCATAAACTGTGAATACCCTTTATTTATTGTTCGCTAGTGCAGAAAATTTATGTTTGATTTTTAGCTGACAATTAAATTGAGATTATTCATACGATAAATATATATACGATATTTTGCACAATATTTTAAAAAATATTTATTTATAATCAAATTATACATGGACGTGTGTTGAACTTAATATATCTTAGTTTAAATAAATATTTGGTTTAAAATATTGTGAAAAAATACATATTACGCATAAATTACAAATCAAGCAATGGAGTAGTAAACCATCAGGTCCCTATTTCCACCTTAGTTTACTTTTAAAATGTAATCGTTTCCCAATCAAAAAACGATTATTTCTTTCTCGTAGAGACCAAAAAATGTGATAAGAATTGCAAAAGGTCAAAATATAGACAATATTCGAGGACAGACCAGAATAAATTAAATACTACATGACTATATGGCTGGACTATATTCTATATTAGTTAGTTAGTTTGAAAGGAGGATGAATATACATCAAATCCGAAGAAATACACCTAGGCCTCTATCGGGCCTGTTGTGCGCTCCTTAACCAGTGCCTCAGGTGGGAATCGAACCCCGCCACCTCCGGTCTACCAGACTAGAACACTAACCACTAACCTATCTCAGTATTCTATATTAGTGTATACTAAAGACTAGATTATACTAGAGCTTGTAGACCAGATTATAGTTTGGAGTATAGACTAAACTATATTACAGTCTAGACTATAAATAAGACTACATACTAAACTATATAATAGGCTCAAGATTCGTTTCCACATAGCCTATTAAATAAGCTAAGCTAGACTATATTGGCGTCAAGACTATAAACTAGACGATAGGTGAGGCTATAGTCCAGACTTTACACTGTATACATATCTGGACATCTTGATACATCGCTTAGTCTATAATCTGAACAACTGCATAGTCTCCGCTCAGTCTACAGTCTAGACTGTAGTCAATCTCTATTTTGGACTAATCCAGAGTAGCATACAATTTTAACTATAATTTTGTATAGTATATAGTCTATTCTTTAGTCTAGTCTATAGTTTAGTCTATAGTTTAGTCTATAGTTTAGTCTATAGTTTAGTCTATAGTTTAGTCTATAGTTTAGTCTATAGTTTAGTCTATAGTTTAGTCTATAGTTTAGTCTATAGTTTAGTCTATAGTTTAGTCTATAGTTTAGTCTATAGTTTAGTCTATAGTTTAGTCTATAGTTTAGTCTATAGTTTAGTCTATATTTAGTCTATAGTTAGTCTATAGTTTAGTCTATAGTTTAGTCTATAGTTTAGTCTATAGTTTAGTCTATAGTTTAGTCTATAGTTTAGTCTATAGTTTAGTCAATAGTTAGTCTATAGTTAGTCTATAGTTTAGTCTATAGTTTAGTCTATAGTTTAGTCTTAGTTAGTCTAGTCTTAGTCTATAGTCTAGTCTATAGTCTAGTCTATAGTCTAGTCTATAGTCTAGTCTATAGTCTAGTCTATAGTCTAGTCTAGTATAGTCTAGTCTATAGTCAGTCTATAGTCTAGGTCTATAGTCTAGTCTATAGTCTAGTCTATAGTCTAGTCTATAGTCTAGTCTATAGTCTAGTCTATAGTCTAGTCTCTAGTCTAGGCTTATAGTCTAGTCTATAGTCTAGTCTATAGTCTAGTCTATAGTCTGCTATAGTCTAGTCTATAGTCTAGTCGATAGTCTAGTCTATAGTATAGTCTTATGTCTAGTCTATAGTCTAGTCTATAGTCTAGCTATAGTCTAGTCTATAGCAGCTTAGTCTAGTTACGTCTAGTCTAAGTTCTAGTCATAGTCTAGTCTATAGTCTAGTTCTATCGTTAGTCTATGTCTAGTCTATAGTCTAGTCTATAGTCTAGCTATAGTCTAGTCTATAGTATAGCTATAGTCTAGTCTATAGTCAGTCTATATGTCTAGGTCTATAGTCTAGTCTATATATCAGTTAGTCTATAGTCTAGTCTATAGTCTAGTCTATAGTTAGTCGATAGTCTAGTCTATAGTATAGTCTATAGTCTAGTCTAGTCTATAGTCTAGTCTATAGTCTAGTCTATAGTCTAGTCTATAGTCTAGTCTATAGTCTAGTCTATAGTCTAGTCTATAGTCTAGTCTATAGTCTAGTCTATAGTCTAGTCTATAGTCTAGTCTATAGTCTAGTCTGTAGTCTAGTCTAGTCTAGTCTATAGTCTAGTCTATAGTCTAGTCTATAGTCTAGTCTATAGTCTAGTCTATAGTCTAGTCTATAGTCTAGTCTATAGTCTAGTCTATAGTCTAGTCTATAGTCTAGTCTATAGTCTAGTCTATAGTCTAGTCTATAGTCTAGTCTATAGTCTAGTCTATAGTCTAGTCTATAGTCTAGTCTATAGTCTAGTCTATAGTCTAGTCTATAGTCTAGTCTATAGT